GTATTGTGCCACAGTCATAGCTCTACTTTCGTGCCACAGATCAGTTTGGAGAAAAGTGACACTTGGAAAGGAAAGTCCTGCATTTTTCAGTATGTGTAAGTTGGTGGCTTAAAATGCAGAAAATATAACTTTTATGTTTCCTCCATTTTAAGCCAGAACTTCACATCCTCCTTTCTTGAATCATCTCTTCGCTGCTGTCCTGCAAAATCAATGTCTCTTTTTTTGTGTGAGTTTTATGGCATTGCTTATTAAAAGCTATTCACCTGAATGGACTGGAATATCTAATGTAAGAGAGTCCATTCAATTTAAGGTGAAATGAAGGTGACACCACAGAGGGATTGCATCTTTATTGATGGAGGCTGATTCAGACATTGTAAGCATCGTGACAAAATGTTTTTTTTCCCCCACAATTCCCTCAACAGCTGAGCTCATCTAGTTTCTGTTATTCAGCTAAGGCATGCCTTGCTTGTCATCGTGAGTTTGTTGTTTGTTTGATCATTTTGTATTCATACACAAATATGTATTTTTCTCTCTTGTTTTACCTCTCTTCAATTTCATCACTTCTCAAATAACAGGTTAAAAACTACAACTAAACAACGCTAACAAAAACTCAAACTAAACCAAACTTGATTCTGCTCAAGTGAGGTGGACAGCCATGTACTACACAGCTCGTTGGAAAGCGCTTTGCGTTTTTCTCAAAGAGTCTTTGTTTGGCTGCAGATTCCAGCGACCTTGCTGGACACCGGCAGGGAGAGGGAGTGAGCGAGAGACAAAGAAAAAGAAAGGGAGGTGGCTATGGGGGGGAGAGAGAGAGCAAATAGAGAGGGAACTGAGGGCAAAAGAGGAGACAGAGGAAGGGAAAAAAGAAGAGAGTGGGTGCTATAGGAAAATGATGATAAAGCTTGAGCCTGAGAGATAGAATAGTAAGAGAGGGAAACGATAAAGGAGCAAGAGAGAGTGAGAAATAAAGGTACAGTGAAAGAGACGTAGATGAAAACAGACGAGTCAGAGCAGAAGGACAAATGAGAGAGGGACAAGTATGGGCTTTGGTGATAAAGACACAAGTAGAGACAGAGAGAGGGAAGGTGTGATTGTGAATTTGTGTATGTAAAAGAGAAAGGGACTGCGTATGTATGGAACTTCTGTGTGAAAGAGAGACTGAGAGAGGGCAGAGAAGTGTTTGACAAAAGGCTTTTGTTGTGGAAGTGGCCATTTTGAATCTTCTCCTGGTTCCAGATGGCTCCACTACACTGTGTCCCAGCCTACTTGTTTGGCCTAGTTTCTCATTAAGTCTCCACTTATACGATGACAGCGTTTACTCTGCTGGCCTGCTCACTATTTATGGCAAACATCATCACAATTCCTCCAGACGTGGCTCAGCTCAATGCCGCCCAGATGAAAAGAATTTCTCTCCCAAGGGCAACGCATGATCCTATTTGTTCTTTGAGGGTTACACCAGTGGTTATGCATGTTTAAGCCTGTTAGCTACAAATTGCAAACACTTTTGATATGTGCCAAAATAAATTTAACAAGAGCAGTTTTAAAGGTTCTTCTTCTGTGTCCATTCAAAGATGCTCTGACATGCTGGCTTTGCCTTCAGCTGCCGAACAGCTACCGCTTTAATGAATGGAATTCACTCTATCCTACAGTATGCATTTCAATTTTTAGAAACTAACATGCTAATGCAATGCCCCTCTGCACTAATCTCTAAAACCTTAGATGTTGGGGTCCAAGAATAATAATACAAAGGTATAAAAATGGTCAAAATGGCAAATTCTTTCTCAAGCGAAGATAAGCAACAATGAAAAAAATTGATGGTGGCTAATTCTTCACTGAGATTGATTAGCTGTGATGTATCAGCAAGCTCAAGCTACTAGTAATTCTAAGCTACAGGACATTGATTTTTATTCTAGTATTTTATACTCATATTAACAGAACCGTGTTAGGTCAGTTTGAAATACAATTGTTATTTATCAACCACAAATGTCAAACATTTAATGGTTCTAGCTTCACAAACATGAGGATTGTTTTTTTATACCATGGTCTGGATGAATGCCCAATTCTGATTGGCTGCTGGGTGTCCATTAACTCCTGATGTGGGACACCTACAGTAGCTGCAGTCAAACTGTCTGTTCACCATTCTAAATTATTCTGCTGAAATAAACTGAATGAAAACAAAATCTGAATATCTTATAAACATATCTCACAATGTAATCCTTCAGTGCCTCATCCTCTAAACACAATAAGATGGCGACTGTAATACACAAGCGCCCACTGCCTCTCATAACTTACTGATACTTTGTAGAAGCAATCATCTCTCATCCCATTCACTATTGACTTGCTACTTGAGGATTATATCCACTCAAGGAGACTTCTACAGCAGCGACTGAAGATCACAGGACTGTAAAGATGATCTACACTCACACAGACACACACCACCATCTTCATGCATTAACGATGAGACATTCATGGGGCATAACCTCACTTTGCATGCACCGTAGTCACATACATACACACAAGCTGCATACCTCCACAAAAACACAGGGACACATACGGAGACTTCTGCCCTATTATAGAGTGAGTCACAACACCCCGATTCATCTCCATTGATCTAACCCTTCCCAGTAGCCTCTGAGTCACTCCTTTTGTTATTCCTTTTTGCGAGTCGTCTTACATCATTCATAAAGCTGCTTATTCCCTTTCTGTAAATGAGATTCACTACGTTATACAGATGTGCTGTCAGAGTTTTGGTACTTCAGAATCCGTCACACTGAAGTTTACCAATCTGTTCAGAAGTTAATCACCCCGTGATGAACCCCCGACCATGCTTACCTGCACACATCAATGCAGCAATTAAGCCATACATGCACACACTTAGATGCATAGTGCTACTGTGAGGTGCTGAACTGAGAATTCAGCTGGGATGAGTGTGAGTCATGGAAACGGCTTAATATTATGGGCTGTCTCTCCCTTGATGTTGCTTGAGCTAATTAAGGCTTGTATGGAGCTACTCAGGTCTGTTTGAAGTGTGCAAGAGACTCACTTTAATGGTCTGCTTTATGCAATTCTGTGTTTTCGCATTTAATTTGAATATGTTTACAACCCAGGGACCTCAGATTATACAGATAGGGCCTCAGAGCTGAATGTAGCTACACCTGCATTTCCTGTGATGAGTTGATTTCCAAATTGCTTGAGAAATAAAATCTCCTCCTTATTATCAAAAAAAAATCAGAAAATCCAGTTTACAACCAAATACCCATTGGCTTTAATTATGTTGTATTCCACCCTGCTAGAATTATGCTTAATTTATGTCACATATACATTTGTATGCCATCAACAGTTTAAACCGAATTAATAAGAAAAGAAAGAAGATAGTATTTGTGTTTTGATAATCACTCATAACTGATACAAGCACTGTTTGGTGTAATGCTGTCAAACAAATTAAGCTCATTCTACAGGTGCACCTAGAGGAAGTTAAGAAAATGTAGAAGTAAATGTGGTGGTACACACTGACCCCTACTGTTAATCACGTGTTATCACCCTAGTCTGTGAAACAGCCCCTGGGCTACTGTGTGGGTGCAGCAGGGTCATGCACAGTGGCACGTGGAGACGGAAAGGTCAATGTGTTTGTGTTTGTCATTTGTTTAGGATCGGAGTACTGTGCGCATATGCTGCCAATCAGAACCTGAGCTCTCAGGTGAAGAACATACGGAGACTGGTCAACAGCAACATGAGGGACCTGCACACCTTCGCTAATGACACGCCAATGGTGAGACAGAGAGTTACAATGCTATGAAAGCAGACACAAAGACATTTACTTCATGTGCTGTCAATACATATTGTTGTATATTGTGATACTGTGTCACAATCCTACAAATTACATTCTAAAACAATACCATCAGTAGGACAGCAATTGGTTTGCTGATTGTGTGAAGGTACTGCTAATAGTTGTAGAAACCTTAGTTGGTGAAATCATTTGTTTTAAGTATTAAGGAGTTACTTAAATGAGAAACATTCTTCATGTCTCAGTGTTAAAGGAAAAGTGTGTGTGCCTGATACTGTTTCTAGTCAAGGTGGGAAAAAAAGAATAATATTCTCACTTTTTGTGCACATGACAGGTGCAAATTTGCTTTTTAAATCATAACTCTCATTCCATGAAATTTCAGGAGCTCAGGTTTCTCTCACTTTACTTGTACGTAGTGTAAAATTGGCAGTGTTTCGAGAACAAAAATCCAACAGAATGCTCAGTTTGTTGAACATGAGATGTTTATAAAGACCTGTTTTATATTCTGTCATCGTCTCCATTTCATTTTGACAAATAACATGGAAATTGTGCTATACTTCAGAGTGCTTGTTGGTGTCTATGACAAGACTAATAAAATCATTTTTTATCTGCTTGTAAGACTCTGCTGTGCTCTGTTGTGTTTCCTGTTTGCAGCAAATTGATTACCTAATATCCCAATACGCCACAGCCAAGAACAAAGTCATCTATGACCTACATAGTAAGTAGAACTCCTCTGTGCCTCTGATAGTGAATTAAACGGACAGAAGTGATTCACCGAGTACTTGCTCTTGGTTGTATATCATGCTTATTATCTGAATTCACTGTGTCTATTGTCTTTGACTTGTTTTCACAACAGATTTGTGACATAACTAGGTCTAGATAGCTAAAGCGGTGACTGTTAAAGAATATTCCCTTGAGTAGTCATCTTACTTTTCTCCTGCAACAGTACTGAAGGCAGCTCTTTCCTGAAAGTTAAGAACTGCAAATGCAGCATTAAGCAGCGAACATAATAGAGAAATGGACTTGGACTATGTTACTGTTTTCTTCTGTTGATCTGATGCTGCATTTTCTACAGATATAGGTCCATTATTGGGTGGAAGGATACATGATCAGCTGGATAAGGAGGTCCATCCTGCCTTGGACAGAGTGCTCAATATGGCTGGAGGTACACCCACACATTTTTCATTTCCTCTTTAGTTACGATATGATCATGTTATTGCAAGCTACCGAATGCAGGCTACAGGATTAAATGACATATAGTATCCTGCCTTACTTGCAAATATTGTCAGTTATTGCAAGAATTATAACTGCACACTAGTGGAATTATAACTATTATCAGATGTTTCCCCACTAAAGATATGCTGTAATATGATTTTAAAACTGTGAAGAAGATTAAACCACTTGATATGGTTGACTTATTCTGCTGTGAACAGTAAATGTTTTTGAAGTCTAATTTTAATATTTTTTTTAGCATTTAGTGAGTTTAATAAAAGCTCTAACTTGTAATAAAGGTTCAGAATATTTTTCAAATCTTTACATTTTATGCTTTTTTATGAAGTGAAAATCCAGCGAGCCATCAAAGGTAACAGTAACTCAGTGACTGGATGACTACCCACAAACCTTTGACCCCTGACCTTGTGAACTTTGACACCAGTGTCGCTCCCGTGATTTGTTCCCTTGTGATCTCCCTTGAGCACTAAAGCCTGATTTATACTTCTCCGTCGAATCAAACCCGTGGGTACAGCATAGGTACGGCAGCCTCGTACGTAGCACTCTATGCTGTAGCCTGACGTGCACCTCCCCAGAAACTGTGTAACTGTGTCTGTAACGACAAAAACCAATCACTAACTGTGATTGGTCCATTTGGTGTGTGTGCATGGTCAGAGAATGGGAGGCGACTTCAAACATACATTCTCAGACAAGTGTGTCCTCACACACAGACAAATAGGCACATGTGGGACGCTGCGTCACTGCATGACCTGCTCTTGTCTGTCCCCTTGTCCTGTGCATCGGCGGTCAGAAAAAGGAAAACGCAGGACAGACTTGAAACAGATTGAGGATAGAGATCAGGGAGAGTTTTAGTTTCAGTCACCATTTTTTGAAGACACCCAACACAGGGACATAAAGTAACACAGACACACCAGCTCACAAGTATGAATGCTCACAACGGTGTAGTTCACTTGCGTAAGGTGCGGTGTAGACTCAACGTAAAGCTTACATACAGCTATAAATCAGCCTTTAGCAGTCTGAGCTCTGAGTTACATCTTAATGAACTACAACCAATTAATATAATAAAACTGCACTATGCAATGTCTGACTCTGGTGCCCACAAATGGCAGATCATTTTTGTGTACCTCATGATCCAGTATGTGAAGCCATATTATTTTAATTTCCTCCCCTTTACAAGCCTGGCTTGGTCTGGATCCAGTGTTTACCTGCTATATTTATGCTAATGCTGTGACCAGATAAATAGTTTTTATGGGCAAACAGAATGAATGAGTGAGTTTTTCCATGTTCAGTCTTCCCATAACAATTCTTGCCTAGTGCAGTTTTAAGTTAATGGAATCACCAGATCTTGCCAAAAACCTGATATAACATCAACCTGCACCTGGACGTCTCCCTTTTTTACTCCAATTGTGTTCTCCCAGCGTGAAGTGAGCATCAAAAAGTAATGTGTTTGTGTGACCAGTTTTGTTATTTTATTTCAACTCTTAAATTAACTACGGAAGTATTATTTTATTTACTTACTTTATGTATTACAAAAAGCAGCTGTATATGGATGTTCAACTACATGGAATATACAAGCAGTCAGCAAGCATGCCAACAGTTCAGGTGGTAAAATACCTGACCACAGATGACTGTGAATTCAGTTTGTGTTCTTAATGTTTGTGTAATATTGTGCTATTACTTGGGCTGAGCTGAGCAGTCAGAGGATCTGATTATCTGGTACAAATATTGTGTCTTGTCTGATGTAGAAAACCTATGGAAGATTCATAAACACATCATATTTCAGTTGGAAAGAATATGGCATTTATACATTTAGCATATAGCATCCATCTGTGTTTTCACTCCTTCCAGTGCTGATAAGCATTTAGCCATATGATTGTAAATTCAGTTGTCTCTCTACACTCCTGCATCTTTTATACCAATGTGCAAGGATGCCAATGCTTTTGCATTCTTTATCCTGCTTATTTTTAAGTCTGCTGCAGGCTACTCTGGGATTGTTAACTAACGCTGGCTGTTGTCTTAGTTACTAACAGCAACAATCTTTAATAGAAGCTAACAAATTCACATTATTCATAGCATTCCTGTTTGGTTATTGTTTGCCGAAAGCAATGCTGTCGGGCAGTTGTAAGTCTGATTTTAGATGCTGGAGTTTTACACCAGCATGTGACCACACCACAGACACACTCCAAATCCAAAATGGGTTTGGATCCGAAAGTCAGTATGATATACTCGGCTCAGGCCTGGTCATTATAATGAGTGCATTCTTTGTGTCCTGTATGAGTCTGTGATTTTGTGTAACATGAGCCAACTCTATACAGATTGTCCTTTTGTTCTGTATGTTGATATTAAATGCCAAGGAGAGTAAGAGAGTTTTGATGGGCATTCTTTTTTTTCACTGGTTTTCCCCTGATACCAGTAACCCAATCCACTTTCAATCTCATCTGTGGTCTCTTTCAATTCAGCCATGCGAGAAACCAAGGAGGCCCTGGAGAATGTCAGTGTGGGTCTGGAGCTCCTCCAGGAAGGAACGGGGAAACTCAACTTTAACCTGAGTCTGGTTCGGACCAGTATCAACCGCACCCTCAATGACCCGGGCTGTCATGACGAGAAGTCAGACGCCACGTCTGCTCAGCTGTGCCGCAATATCCGCCAGTCGTTGTCTCAGCTGCAAATCAGCGCCAACTTCACACGGGTACAAAACTGAATGCACAAGTATTATGCAGATTATATGCAAATTATTTGTATGCACATATTATTATCATATGCATGCATATGGACACAAATGTAAATATTCATTGGAATTTTTTGGGAATGTGGTTAATGAGAAAATAAAACAACTAAGCTTAATCTTAAGGTTAAGATGTGGCAACTAATCCGTTTTTGATCATGGGTCACGGTTAAAACCAGGATTAAGTAGAGCTGTGGCTAAGGTTGTAGCCACAACACTGAATATTGATCAAGAGATTTGTCAGTGTTTCATTGTCTGTTTATATTGTAGCTACCCAATGTGAACACTCAGCTGGAAAAGATGAATGATGTGTTGAAAACGGACCTCAGTGCTATCGTCCAAAGGGTGAGCCTGGAGTATAAATAAATATTCTTACATTGTTGGCATTGTCAGTCTGTAATGGTATTCAGTGTGCGGTTTATTTCAGTGCTACCGTCATTCCTTCAGGTGCTTTGTCTACTGCTTCAGTCAGTGACTTCAAGCATTTTACAGAATGCTTCTGAAAAGCTATTTTAAATTTTAAAAGAAAATAAATAAATAAATAAATGCTCAAACAACTAAATGGACCAAGAAACTGCATGTTCCAACAAGGTGTCCTTTTCCTCTCACAGGGCTACTCCTCTTTCAACGACACGCCAAATATGGTGATTGAACAGACCAGAAGTGTTGTGGAAAGTAAGTGATATTTCACACTTCTGAAACCTTTCTTGTGAAAGCAAACACAAGTAATCCCACTCTGTTAATCTAACAATTTTAAGTGTTACTACACTAAGTGATTATAAAACTGGATGGATTATTTGAATGATCTGTCTCTCAGGTATACAGGGTTTGGTTGACGGCATTGGCAATAACATCAGCAGCTTCTCCAAGGTATTCCCTGTGCAGAGTTGCCTGTCCAACTTCAGTATCTTCGTCAACCATGCCCATGCCAAGATCGAGGACTACTACCCTGAAATTGACAAAATGGACTTCTACAGGTAAACTCAACTCCTGACATAAATAAAAAACACATACCAATAAACTCTAAGTAGTGTATATTGTGAAATGTGTTACATGACTAGACTCTTTTTGCAGGCTACTGTAAAAGTAATTTGTGTGCTGCATAAGCTTGCACTAATATTTTGCATTCATGAAATATTCATATCACTTTGACATTAATTCAGGAGAGTGGAGGGAAGCCCAAGATGATATATTAGTTGTTTTAAAAGCTTTGTATTACATTTTTACTTTACCCCATTTAGCTTATCTACTATTTCATACTAAGAAAGCGGGCAGAGCTGCACTGTGTTGCTCAAGAACACTCTAGCAGGACACACAGACAGTAATATACACTTTAGCTGAGGATGATACTGTCCTATTTGTGTTCTAACTGTTGAGCTTTGTCTGCTGCTTACAGGTGGATTGGCTGTATTGCTCTTTGCTGCATGGTGGTCCTGGTCCTCACCTTCAATTACCTGGGCCTGCTGTGTGGCACCCTGGGATACGACAAGCACGCTTCACCTACAACACGAGGCTGCATCTCAAACACAGGAGGAACGATGCTCATGGCGTGAGTCAACTGTCCAAATGACAGTCTGTCAGTTTCAAGATTTAAAACTGAAGAAGGTGTGGCCATAAAACATGTTTTCAAATCAATTTAATGAAGATGCCACAGTACACCTTACTACTAGTATTTGTCTTACTACTTGTTAAGGCAGGAGGACCACTAGCTCTTAAACTATCTAAACTACATCTACAGTACTATAGCTGCCACTACTGCCACTTCGCTATATTATTTCCCTTTACATGCTACAGTAAAAGGTGAAGAAGACCAAAGCATATAATCACAATCATGTAAAAGTTGAAGTCAACTTAGAGAAGCTCTTGTTAAAGAAAGCTCATGTAAACAAATCATATGTGATAGAATATCTGAACAAATTGATACAGATCTTTTTGGCAGAACCTGTTCCCATAAGATCCCATACTTTGGATTTTAAGGGTTTCATACAAACTTTTCTTTTGTAGTTAAAATTGGTTTAGAAGCCTTAATTTGGACTATCTCCTAATGTATTCTAAATGTCAGATTTGTGTCTTGTGTTAATATCTAATCTAATTTAAGATACTGATACAGATCCTGCTTCTTTTAATTCCCCTCTCCCTCCCTATACAATATCTACATTGCCTTTTACAATGAGCTGACAATGCTTACTGTGACAAAAGCTTTAGGCCACCTCCAATCCACCCACTCCACTTCTGCTACGTCTCCATCTCTCATTGTTCTATACTTTCACTGTACCTGAGGGCCTGTCTGTTGTTCTCCACAGCGGCGTTGGATTTAGTTTCATCTTCTCCTGGGTGCTGATGGGAGTGGTGACCACCATCTTTCTGGCTGGAGGAAACATGGAGAAACTGGTGTGTGAACCGTTCCACACCAAAGAAGTCTTCAAGGCAAGTAATAAGTACACCCTGTAAACTATACAGCGGTTTAAACCCCTACATATTACAAGTACATCTCAAGTAGTATATCGACTTAATTTTCATATAGAACATATTTTTTTATATTTGGTACATACAGAGTGCCCTGGACTGTATGGGCACTGTTCCTTCTCTGTACTAGTTACTGCATACAAGTCAGTGTCCTTTGAGTGGGACTGGGAGAATAGTGGTTGCTCACAGTTGTGAGTGGCATGCTGTAATTTGTATTAAGTCTGAATCCTGCAGAAGTTAAGCCTGAAGCCCTGCTGTTGTTACTGATCACACACCCTCTTTCTGGATCTCTGATTTGCCAGGTTGTGGACACCCCATATCTGGTCAACCCAGAGTGGAAGAACTTCATCCCTGGCTACATGTACAACGACTCCAACCTGGAGCTGACGGCAGAGAGCTTGTACAGGCAAAGCAAACTCATTTTTATGTATTTAGGTGACAGTGTTTTGTCTGCCACCTTTCAGAAGCAATGCTTTGATGATGATTATTCTCCTCATGGCCTACTCCACATCGCCCTTCTCTGCATTTCATGTTTATGTTTAGTTACAACACTGAATGGATGTTGCAGCAAGACAAGCTATTTATGCAATTATAGGCTGAAGAATTACTGACTGATGCAGTTTTTCACATTTTGCTTACAGGTTTTTGTTCCGGCACAGGCGTAGGGTCAGGCATCAGTGGTGCAACTGAATTTTTTATTTCTATTGATGAGGATGCAAATGAGAGAGAGTTACTATTAACCTTGAGTAGCTAATTAGCATACTGTTCTATGCTATTGTGCTGCTTCTCTTCAGCCTCTTTCTCAGTGATTACATCAGCTTTCATCATCTCCCTCCAGTCAGGAGCTGCATATCCTCAGTAACTGGGATGGCAGACCCGCAGTCATTAAGTTTCCAAATAGAGCAATGTTGCTTCAACAAGTGTTGGCTCATTAAAAAACAAGCAGTGCTAATGCTATGTACATTACGTGAGTCTATTGGGCATGTGGCTGCCTAAATGTAATCATGGAACAGTTATCTTTGACATGTTCACAAATATTCCAGGCTTTTGAGGAACATTATGCTGTTTTATTTCAGGGAACATGTCAGTGTGTCATGTACTTCCAGTCAATTTCACTTGGTGGCAGCAAATATTCTGACTCTGACACTTTTAAGTTGACATTTCCCCCCTCTCTCTCTCTCTCTCTCTCTCTCCCTTTCCCTGTCATACCTGTGTATCTGTTTGTATGTGTGTTTCTTTCTCAGTACTTGTAAAGAGAACAAAGGCATCTACTCAGCTATGCGTCTGGACAAAGTCTTCAACATCTCCTCTTTCCTGAACACTACAGTGGTCAGTAAACTCAAGGCACACCATTAGTAGCATTCTGGCAAATGTATTTGTATTGATTCATCCCTTTACCCCGTATGGAGCCTAACTGATGGAGACATTAAAAAAATATATTGTGGATATGGATATTAGGACGTGACT